AATTATTAAATAATACTTTAGCGATAGAATTTAATGAAACTTATATATATATAATAATATATATATATGTATATCAATTAATCAGTAGATTGATTGATTGATGCATATTTCATTAAATTAGTATGCCCACTTTGCGCTCAAAAGTTTTTTGATAAGAACTTCAACACCACGTAGTATGGTCAAATACTCTTTTGCTGTTCTCTCAATATTATAATATCTCCCCACTGCGTATGAGTGTGGCCCGCTTTGGAGATGGCACAACACAAGGACATAGCTACTTGCCTAGATTCGGCTCACCTTATGTCAATCAGGCTAATGGTGTCAATTGTAGACTACCGACATCCGTAGTGACGTAGTTGGCGGCTTTGTTTGATACTGATGTTTAGCTTTTCAATGTGCCCATCCATGTATGCAGATATAATATTTTGACAATTATTATTCACGTATATGTATTGTACTACAATATTTGTACACGCTAACTCTCTACGATATTAACGCTATAACACGATATAGACGCAATATTAGCGTTATATACCAACTCCTATCTTTAAACACCTCTCTCTATTGGTTTTAAAACTTTATAAAAATTGTTGATATTTAAAATTCAACTATAAATACGTTTAATTATTTAATTTTATGTCCTATTTTATGTTTAACCATATTTTAAGGGTACGTTACACTAATACGCTATTATTATCATCATCAACATTTAATATATAATCTAATTTATATAGTGGGCATTCAAATTTGATGAAATATATATACATATATATATATATATATATATGTGTGTGTGTGTGTGTATGTGTGTGTGTTTTTGTTTTTGATGGCATATAATAATTTGGGGATAGTTTTTTTTAAATCCGGACACCCATCCTGACGATAACCACCAGTTATAAGCGGTGGGCTTAGCTTTTTGCTCAAAAGCACGCAAGGCAGCGTGGATGCAGTTATGCCCAGGACTGCATGCCCATGCAGTGTCATGCCCAAGACTGATGGAAATGATACTGAATGAAATGTATACAACTGATTGTCTAAATTTGGCGCAAAAAGTTGATGGCAAAGAAAACAACGTCCTACCTCGGGGAACCGGGCTCTGGACGCTAAACGAAGATTGATTGATTGATTGATCGTAGGGGTAGTGTCACGCCGCATCAATATAAAGGCAAGGAGATGCCATTTATTCCAGGCTGCACGTATGCGTGCTCGAACGGCAGCTTCGGCAGTTCCAGTACAATAATATGTTTGTGACACCACTGGTTACACTGATGACACTTGATTGAATTGTTACCTACGCCAGCTTTACAAACTGAACAGGGCCATCGTCCAGTAGCTGTGGATTGGATGGGTTCACCAGTGTTCATTGCTTTGGTTTTGCTGATGTTGACTTTGAATCTATGATCGGCGAGTCTGGTGTTCCAATCTTCAAATATCTGTGCTGCATTCTGCTCAGACGTGGCTGTTAAAACGATATCATCAGCATATACTAGATTCCAAATGTCACCAGTGCGTATCGGTTTTGTGATTTCTTCCATCACACTTATAAATAACAGTGGACTGAGAATCGAGCCTTGGTGAACTCCAACGCCGATGTCAAATGCATCTGTGTTTCCAACCGTTGTGCTGACAAGAGTCTTAGTATTCGTATACATTTCCATCACAAGTCGAACAAAATATTCTGGTATGAGTTGTCGACGTAGACTCCACCTGATAGCTTCACGGGGAACTCGATCAAATGCTTTTTCAAGGTCTACAAAAATGTGTGATAGTTGTTGATGCTTTGCGAGGTACTTCTCTTGCAGTTGCCGAAGGATGTGAATTGCATCAATTGTTGATTTCCCCGCTAGAAAACCAAATTGATAATTTCCGATTGTGATGCACAACGTTAATCTTCTCTCAATGATTTTCTCTACAATTTTCAGGGAGTGTTCTAACAGACATATACAACGATATGATGAACAGTTCAATGGATCACCTTTGCTTTTGTATAGAGGTTTCACGGCAAAGTTGTAGTAACGTTTGGATACCTGCAGTACCAGATGCTTTGATAATGTCATTTGTGAGTCCAGAGGGCCCTGCTGCCTGTCCATCCTTCATAGCTTTCAGAGCTTCTGTAAGCTCTTTTACAGTGATGTCTGCAATCGGACCTTGGATGGTGGAGCGTCAATGTTGACATTGATGGGATTTGTTTCATTTAACACACGGTTGAAGTATTCTCTGCACTCTAGCTTGATCTCATTTTGTTCAAGAACCATCTCATTTTTGTCATTTTTAATACATGAGGCACCAACTATGTCTTTTTTCGTACGCTTTGCTTGTTTTGCTATACGATACAGAGATTTCATTTGTTCACCTTTGCTTTTAGTGAGCCATCCTCTGCACTGATCTGTCCGAGCCAGTGTAACTTGACGTCTTGCATAGTTGTTCTTCTCACGGAAAATTTTATGGTCATCAACAAAATTTGATTTTTGCCATTGCTTGTATGCAGCTTTCTTTTCAGCTATTGCATTATGTACACTGTCATTCCACCACCAAGTGTCACGTTCATGCTGACGTTTTGTACCAGTTTTTCCACAAACTGTAATTGCAGCGTTTATCAAAACGGTTTTGTATGTACTCCAATCTGTACTGGCTTGTGATTGGTGGTTTAACTGTGTGGCGACATATTGCTTTTCAGTTTTTCCACTACCACTACGATCAAGACTTTATAAATCTGTGATACGTCCGGTGTTGTTATATGCTGCAGAAACATGGCTAATGACAACCAAACTGGAAGAACGAACCGACATGAAAATGCTCCGATGGATGCAACGAATTAGTCTAACCCTAACCCTAACAAAAAAGTATACGGCGCCAAATCAACCACAACGCCCAAACCCAGCTATTGCATTATGTACACTGTCATTCCACCACCAAGTGTCACGTTCATGCTGACGTTTTGTACCAGTTTTTCCACAAACTGTAATTGCAGCGTTTATCAAAACGGTTTTGTATGTACTCCAATCTGTACTGGCTTGTGATTGGTGGTTTAACTGTGTGGCGACATATTGCTTTTCAGTTTTTCCACTACCACTACGATCAAGACTTTATAAATCTGTGATACGTCCGGTGTTGTTATATGCTGCAGAAACATGGCTAATGACAACCAAACTGGAAGAACGAACCGACATGAAAATGCTCCGATGGATGCAACGAATTAGTCTAACCCTAACCCTAACAAAAAAGTATACGGCGCCAAATCAACCACAACGCCCAAACCCATTTCACCCATACTGACAGGCAAAATTGTCATTAAAAAATATATTAAAATTGGACTGGAGTCCCATACGGAGTTGATGATCTAACTGATCAGAAATTCGTTTTGATGGACCGGGGAAGGTTATTACAGAGAAAAATAATTTTGACGCCGCCTGGGTTCAAAATGATGATGGCATTTAGTTTACAAATATTCACCATCGTTGACAAAAGCCATATTGATCTCATCAAACTTTTTTTCCTAGAACGTGGTGCTTGCCCTTAAAAATAACGGCTCCTAAAAATTAGAGATAGTTAACTCCGTGGTATTAATTTGTTTTCGAAAGTTTGATGGTTTAGTGGAAGTTGTTTCGATTTCGCATTTATTATTGTTGAGCTTTTTGTAGAGAACTATTGACCATTTATAACCTTCAAACAACATCTTAGAGCAATATCGTCGAAGTAAGTTGTGAACGGATTGATTTTATTAATAGGTCAATTGACAAAAAAGCAAAAGATTCAATGGATCACCTTGCTGTACAGCCTCAACCGACGGTATTGTTATCGATAGTTATAGAGTCTGCATCGTATAACAGCCAACAGAAGTTGAATATTTCAGGGAGACGTGACTTGACACATTGAAGCATATGGTCTCGGCGGAGAGAATTAAAAGCATTGAAGAAGTCAAGTTTTAAAAAACTTTCGTTTCCGCCCATGTTGTGAACAAAACGTTGAACGGCATGTATCACTCCCTCCGAGCCACCACCTACACCGACTTGTTGGGGTTGAAGGATTGGAGCTACCATTTCTTTGATGGATACCTGGGCACATTTGGCTGCCCAGCGTCTCCACACACAACCAACAGCAATAGGTCTTATTCCACCATCCTTTTTGGACAACGCCAGTTGTTTTTTCCCCAAAAAATAAGGGCATCTCCAGGAGGTCAGACGCCACTTAACAGCAAATTGATGAAGCTGGTTGTTGAATTTTAAGCTCGGTGGTTTCAGACATGTCGAAAAATTCGAAAATTAAAAGTTTATCCGAGAAGAGAAATCACGGTATAAACACCGCATAGGCATTTTTTTGAGGGTCAGATCTGGCGTAAGGCCATCCCTCTCTCCGGATGTACCTTTGGGAACTGTCTTAGACACCGCAGCAACTGCTGTACTGTAATTGAGACAATTGTAGGTTTCTTGTCCGGACTTGGTTTTCTGTCTGATGAATGTGTGCTTATCTATCAGGGCACTGAGCTTGTTTGCAGAATTCGGGATTATTGCTTCTTCTTATGTTGCCCTGCTCCATTTTACTTTGCCAATGAATTCAATTGTGGCCGTCGAGCCTTTTTTTCATAACTTATACAGATTCAATTGAGTTTACTATTTCTTCAAAGGGGCTTTCTACCTGTACATCCAGTCTGTTGTTGACTCCGACGCTGACGTTGTGGCGTCTGCCTCCCGAGTCCCTTACAGTGGACTTAACGTAATAAAAATAACAACTTATACCACGAAGTTGTAACTGAAGGGTTGTCCCGGTCCAGGATGTCTTTCAAAACGCTTGTCAACGTCTGTCCAAACTTTCTGCGTGACTGTTTTGGTGTGTGGTCAGATTTGAGAAAAATTTTTTTAACCAATGGGAGGTAACATTGTTAAGGATTTGGGTTAGAGAAATTATAGTTGATATGAAAAATAGTATGCCTAATGCACCTGAGACAGTATGTCAGGTGAAGAAGGGGCCAGCACGACTAGGAAACATGGTGGTAAAACGAAATGGTCAAAAGAGTAATAAGGAATAAAAAAGTATATATGAAGTGGAAAATTTCAAAAAACGAGGAATATCAAAGAGCCTATCGATCTTTAAAACAGAAGGCTAAGAAAGTAGCGATACCAAAACGAATATTTTTAGGACTTTTCAGAAAAGCTGAGTTCAGAGGACAGTAAAAAGCCTTTGCGCTATGGCTTAATCAGGAAATAGGGAGAGACAAGATGTTGAAGTAAATTGCATGAAGGATACTAAAGGCGTCATTTTTTAGACCCAGAGGGTAGAGAAAAATTATGGAGAGAGTATATGGAAAACTGTTAAATGAAGAAAATGATTGGGATGGGATACCAAGGCAAATATAAATGTAGCAAAGGTTGAGTATATAGAAAAAGAGGCGATTGAGTGGGCACTAAGAAAAATGTTGACTGGTAAGGCTCCGGGTAATTAAAGTGGTAAAAGAAATGTTGAAAGCAACAGGTGATTTGGGAATTGAGGAACTGACTGATTGTTCAATATATTAATTAGGGAAAAGGAAATCCCAGAAGATTGAGAGAAAAAAATAATCCTTCCAATTTACAAAGGTAATACGAACTCTGTAAACTATGGATGTTATTAGTGAACAAATTTTGCGAAGGTTGCAAAATTTTCATTCTAAGTTTCGGGTTTAGGATGTTATTCAAGTTCAAAGTGCATATAGACATATTCTAATGCAATGGAGTTATCTACACAAAATTGACTAGAGATCTTCATTGTTGAAAGCAACACGTCGTCTGTTAATACTTGGTTTTCAAAATCATGTGATATTACATAAATATTTTAGGCAAGTAATATACAAATAAAGAAAAAAATAGTTGTAATAATTTTAAAAAAATTTTAACGGTGGATCTATGTTTTTCTTTTTGACAAATACGAAAGAAAGAAATGCTCAACAGTTAAACTGGATCTGTAATTGAGTCTTTTTAAAAGAGTTTGTAGTTAACACGTTAATGCAGTCATTCGTTTAATTTATTAACAAATGTTAAAGCAAAAGTGTTTGACATGGCATAAATTTTGTGATTAAAAACACGATTTTTATAATTATAATAAACTTTTATTTCTATTTTCGTTTTTAACGTTCTCCTTTTTAACGTAGAATGAACTGCAAGGGAAATGATTTGGATGTCGATGCATTGTCAACAACAATATTTATTTTTTAGGATTTTAGTGTATTCAGGAGAGTATGAATTAGCCAATAAAAACAACAATATTTATGTTTTTAGATTTCAGTGGATTCAGGAGAGTATGAATTAGCCAATAAAACTGTTTCTGATGAACTCTATCTACATGCTTCTCAATTAATGAAAGCCGACGTCGCATTATACAAAGAGAGTATGTCAATCATTATTTATATGTGATAATTTTATATTATTAATTTCACATCAAAATTGCAAGGTTTCTTCCATTGTCTTATTTTTGCTATTTTTTTGCAGAAATTGAAAATCAAAAGAAGCAAGGCTGGTTGAAAACAGTTCTGTCAAAAGGAACATCTAAAGATAAAGTGGCTGCTTGGGTAGTCCTCATTCAGGATTCACATCTCCATAATTTCTGCTATCTTGATTCTTTAATTAGTTTACTGGTGAAAGAAAGAAGAAAAGCGCTTGAAACATTAGGTTATTTTTTATTTATTATCTGAACATGGGAATAGAAATTTTGATAGTTTGATATTGAAATCGAATTATTATTACAAAAAGTAATCATTTTGATATGTATTTTCGATATGCTGTACCAAATTAACTTGAAAATGTAAAATGTCACAAATTGATTCATTTATTTTAGAAAGTTTGCATTAAGTTTTGTTCCTCTATAAATTTAAATTGAAGCAAGATAGAAAAGTGGCTGGTTCATTGAAATTTAGTTTTGTTCTCTTTACTATTTATCACATATTAGTAAGTAGAGAGATAAGTGATATGGACATCTCGATGGCTGAGATTGATGGAGAGCTGAAAAATTAATTGAAAATTTGGCGGGGGAAATTATGAACTAGAACAAGAATGTGGACAAAAAGGAGGGAATTATTTATGCCATGCGATAAATGCGGTTAAGAGACGAAACATAACATAATAACAAGCAACAGATGGAGCTCTTAAAATTATTGCTTTCTCTGTTGCATTCGAAATAAAAGTTGGTCTTAGTTTGTTCGAATCAGAAGCTGTAATTAGTGTGTTGATAGTGATTGAAATGGAGGAAGTTGTTATTGCTCTGTCTGTGTAAATGCAAAAATTACAGAGACACCACACTCCTGTCAGTCCCTAGCAGATTTACCATTGATAAGATCCTCACACCGTCACTCCTGCTGCAGACCAGTCGTGAGTTTGGTCGACCGATTTGGTTTGGCTACGTTGATCTGAAGGCAGCTTTTGATTGTACTAACAGAGAAGCTATATGGCGGCTGTCTAGGAGTTCATGACCATATCGTGGACCTGCTAAAAACTTTTTACACTCACTTCCTTAGCTGCGTTAAGTCACGGGATAATGTTCTTAGTGGTTTGTTGATAATGGTGTCAGACAGGGGTACGTTTTTGCCCCAGATGAGTTCCTAGCCCCGATGAATTGGATTCGGGATTCAGATTCCTCTTTGAGGAAGCTGAATCTTTTGGACTAGAAATAAATTGGGACAAAACCGGGTTATCCTTCGTTGGAAACTGTTTCAGTAATGAATAATAATGTACAAGTTGTGGATTCGCTCACTTGCCTTGGCTCCAAAATGCAATCACTGGCAGTTGTAGTGCGGAGATATATTGCCGAATCGCCGTCACCCGTTCATTTATGTCTTTGGACCGCAACATATGGCACTTCAAGCGTCTCACAGGCGAATAAATCAAATTCTAGAACATTTACGTCTGCTGTATGGATGTGAGACATGGTCAACTACCGGCATTCTCCTGAAAAAAACTTATAAAAAATCCTTCGTCTATTCTACCGTAATCATGTCACAAACATCAAAGTAAGAAAAATAACTCTTACCCTGTTTTGGTCACATAGCTCAAACTCGCTTTTCAGAGGATTATAAAATAGAATTATAAAAGCTGCCATGGATCGGCCTGCAGCCGATTGGACTCATCCACATCGCCACCCAAGACAGACCTGGATGCTCTCAATATAGGCGGACCATAAATTTTTAGTGTTTAAAAGCGAAAGTTAGTTATTGTAACGTGAGTTGTTATATCTGGAGGAAGAAAAATAGTTGTGGCTGTATACGAGGTTACTAAAACAGTTTGTTTTTATCATGCTCGTAGTTCTATGAAAGAATTTTTAGTTAGGGATTAGACCAATTGGATCATATAGGAGAAGTCTTTCCCAACAACAATTAAATAAATTTATTACTATAAATTTCAAATTAATACAAATAATCTAATCTAATATATTTTGTAAAATTTAAAGTTCATTATAAAAACCCCTACTGTACATAACAGAAAATTAAATAGCCACATTAACCTAATTTTAAATTACTTTATCTTTACCCTGAATTAACTGTATCTAATTAACATTGCTTTTTATGTTTTTTAAGCCAGGAAACCTAAGAAAAGCATTTTAAATGCTTCAAATAATATTTTTGGTCTGGTGCATCTGCGTCTCGAATCGAATTTTTATAACGATACAAGATTTTTCGTATCATAATTCAAATAAAGACGACATTTAAAAAAATCTTGTCACGAAATAAAAAAATATGAAATAAATAATAAACTTTTAACGAAATAAAAAATATGAAATAAATAAGATCACAGTCCTCCATTTAATTTTTCAATCTTATATCATGCCATAAACATAAAAAAAAACTTACATCCGTCATTTACATCCGTAGAGGAGCTTACAGAAGCTTTGAAAGCTATGAAGGATGGAAAGGCAGCAGGGCCCTCTGGACTCACAAATGACATTATCAAAGCATCTGGTACTGCAGGTATCCAAACGTTACTACAACTTTGCTGTGAAATCTGGAAAAATTGCTCAATGCCGACTGAATGTAACTATAGCATGACAGTCCCGCTATACATTGAACTGTTCATCATATCGAGGTATACGTCTAAGAACACTCCCTGAAAATTGTCGAGAAAATCATTGAGAGAAGATTAACGTTGTGCATCACAATCTGAAATTATCAATTTGGTTTCCTAGCGGGGAAATCAACAATTGATGCAATTCACATCCTTCGGCAACTGCAAGAGAAGCATCAACAACTATCACACATTTTTGTAGACCTTGAAAAAGCATTTGATCGAGTTCCCCGTGAAGCAATCAGGTGGAGTCTACGTCAACAACTCATTCCAGAATATCTTGCTCGACTTGTGATGGAAATGTATACGAATACTAAGACTTTCGTCAGCACAACAGTTGGAAACACAGATGCATTTGACATCGGCGTTGGAGTTCACCAAGGCTCGATTATCAGTCCACTGTTATTTATAACTGATTGAAGAAATCACAAAACCGATACACACTGGTGACATTTGGAATCTAATATATGCTGATGATATCGTTTTAACAGCCACGTCTGAGCAGAATGCAGCACAGATGTTTGAAGATTGGAACACCAGACTCGCCGATCATGGATTCAAAGTCAACATCAGCAAAACCAAAGCAATGAACACTGGTGAACCCATCCAATCCACAGCTACTGGACGATGGCCCTGTTCAGTTTGTAAAGCAGGTGTAGGTAACAATTCAATCAAGTGTCAGCAGTGTAACTAGTGGTGTCACAAACGTTGTTCAAAAATAATTGGTACTTAATCTAATGTGTCCAATTTTGTTTGTCCTGCTTGCATCAATCCACAACAACAAATTTGAAATAGCAATGCAAGCTAGTAAGGTAGAGAAAGGCACATCGTTTCAATATCTAGGGGATGTCCGAGATTGTACTGGAACAGTTTAAGCTGCCGTTCGAGCACGCATACGTGAAGCCTGGAATAAATGGCATCTCCTTGCCTCTATATTGATGTGGCGTGACATCCCACTACCACTATGATCAAGACTTTATAAATCTGTGATACGTCTGGTTTTGTTATATGGTGCAGAAACATGGCCAATGACAACCAAATTGGAACAACAACTTCAACGAACCGACATGAAAATGCTCCGATGGATGCAACGAATTAGTATGAAGGACCACATCAAATCTACCGAAATCCTGCGTCGTGCTGGTTTAGATGAAATAAAGGACTAATGCCGGAAACACGTTTGCGGTGGTTTGGTCATGTCAAACGAAGTGGAAACAGTGCCATAACTTTTCTTGCTGATGTTAAAGTACCTGGCACACGTTCCAAAGGCCGTCTAAAGAAGTCCTGGTCGCAAACAATTGAGCAAGACAAGATAGCTCTAAATTTAAATGAAATGGATACAACTGATCATCTAATTTGGAGCAAAAAGTTGATGGCAAAGAAAACAACGTCCTACCTCGGGAGAACTGGGTCTCTGGACGCTAAACGAAGATTGATTGATTAATTTCGTCATTTCCCACTTTTTTAAACATTCAAGTATCTAGGTCACATTTCTTGGGTCGCCATTTCCATCATGCAGCTCCGCGTGTTTGGAATGGTCTACCGGCGGAGCTTAGAAGTTGAACGTCACGTATGCAGACTCTGGGTGCCTCTGAAGCAATCGTGCAACTGGCCCATTGTCAATTGCCGTATTATTATTATTATTATATAAAAATTTCGTCTGGTATCTTTTGTACGAAGTCCCTAAACAAACAATTGCACACAAAAAAATCTATTATCAAAAAAGAAGGTATAATAAAATCGTAATTTATGGTAATTTTTGGTGAATTGATTTTTTGTTTGGTTTGTGTGCAGTGTTTTCGGTAAAGTTGGCAGGGAAACTACATTTTGTATACTATAAAGTGGCGACTTTGCTTAGACGGTAAAATTATCACACGTCATTTTTATTGTGTGATGACATTATCTGTCCAAAACTCAAAAACCATACAATTCTTAACACTCCAAATACAGGTAATATTAAGCTCAGCATATCAAAAATAACGTTATTAATTTTATATTATTTTGGAGATTAAGAGCTTATTTTTTTTATTTAGATATCGTTTTAAAGATAGTATTTATTTGTTGATAGCCAAATATCCAGCATCCTTCTAAAAAATTAGTGTCGCTTAACGAGTTTCGATTCCAACAATTTGAATCGAGATAAAGTATCGTTATCAAATAGTTATTTTTGACGGCGTTTCGTATCGTCTCATTTCATTCGAGACAAAATTCTAATATCGAATCGTATCGTTTTAAAATAATAAGGCGCAGATGCTTCAATCTATCAATGAAATTTATATAACCCAAATTCTGTGACTCGAACATGGGTAACTTTAATAACATGGTTTAACGTTGATGGTTTTTATTCATACATTTATTCATGATACATATACAATAACTATTAGGTATATTATTTTTTATTCTAGTATATTATTATTGTTATTATTTTATATTATAGTGTATAATAATATTTTTTTAGATATTTAATTTGGTTATAAAGAATAAAGAACAAACGTTCTTTATTCTCATTTGATTTGTTTAATTATTTGTTTGTTTATTATTTTCACAGTTATTTTTAATTATGTTGATTGGCTTGTTTTTCTCAGTACTTTTAGCTGTTTTTCGAAACTTTTGTTGCAATTTTTTTCCTTTGATCTTTTGAGAACTATCGTAAGAGTGAATTGTAATAATAATAACGACATAGGACCGACACTTGTATAATCTGAGCTGACTCACCCTCCAATAGGTTTCTTTCATCACCACGTTTATATGGTTATGTTAATTTGCAATATAAATTATCCAGATACAGTAAAAGATTTGTTTTTGCAAGAACTTCTTGTTCCAAACCGCAAACTAAAAACTTTCATTCAGGTTGATAATTTTTTCTGTCGCATTTTATATTCATTTTTAAATTTAAATATGCAAACTTCGTTTATTTGTTTGATCTTTATAATTGTAGTAGCATAAAACTAAATAAAATCATTAAATGTTATGCTTTTTGTTGTCCACTCTTCGTTTATTTGTTTGATCTTTATAATTGTAGTAGCATAAAACTAAATAAAATAATTAAATGTTATGCTTTTTGTTGTCCACTCTTATGTCGTCGGATCTGCACAGCATCCACTGGTTGAATTAGAGAAGTTGACTAATGGCAATCGGGAAATGATGGATCAAAAGTTGCTTGTGTGGTATTATGAAGACCAACTCAAGAAAAAATATAAAAGTTTTATCGATGCACTTCAGGTTAGTATTACATATTAATAAAATCTGAACTATGTATTCATTTGTATTTTTAAATCACGGTAGTATTAGCATGATCTAAAGTAGGAATGGACGGATCTAGGAAATCGAGATTCTAAGTGATTGATTCGTGTGGATCCAAATCCGGATCCAAGAAGCATGCGGGCTCATAGTCAAATATATTTCAACTCAAGTTCCATCCCACTAAAATATTCAATCACAGTGATAAGGACTAAATTTTTGTTTTAAATTCAACTAAAACTAAATTCAAACTAAAAATATAGTTCATTAATACATCAATTAAAAAACATATATAAACAAAATTGGTCTGCCACTTGTCAAATAATTATGCGTTCATATTGATGAATAAATATTTATTTGTAACTGTCGGCTATCGGCTGTGCTTTTGTGTTCTTAAAAAACCAAAAGTTTTTTAAAAATTTTTATTTATTCTCGCAATGATTTGTTGTAAGCATTATAGCTGACATTAATAATTTTGGATTGTAAGTAAGAATAAACGAAACAATGAAAAATTTCAACGATTCTGCGCTTTGTGATTCAAACCACACCGTTGTATCACATGATTCGGCTGGGATTCGGTTACAAACACGTGATAAAAATGTTAACACGTGATTTTATAATGTTTATAAAATTTCACATTCTAGCTGGCAATTAAAAATATTCAATTAAACCAATTTTCACTTAACTTATTTGAGAATTATGGATCCGGTTATTACCAAATATCTAGCGTTGGATTCGACGAATCTGAATCTTTTGGATCTCTGAATTCCTTATCTAAAGAATGGATCTAAAGAGTAGTATTTTATACTGGTATTGCCGTAACGTGTTCTTGCTTACTATAAGCATTGGTGGAAGAAACGCGAGAGGCTATGACAAAGATGACACCTATTATAATAGATTCTGAGAGACTATAATAATCAAGTGATTGGCGCTGGCTAACTATTATATTAGCTAAATTATGCTCACTTCAATGCAGACCTTTGGTAAAAAAAATAAGCTAAATAAGCTTAGTTTGGATACTGCTAAATACTGAAGTGATAGATATTAACCCAACATTGTTGTATCTGTAAAGCCAAATGACGATATCTGTTTTTGGTATCGTACAACAAAATGTTTGACACGACTATCAGACTATCCCGAGAGTTTATTATTAAAGAAGGGAATGAGACAAAAGAGAACTTTTAACAAATTTTAAAGCGTAGATTTTAAAAAATGAGCTCTTGGGGCTTGGCACCGAGGCGGAGATAGGTAAAGTTAAATCTTATATAAACAATTGTTTAAAGTTCATCATGTATTTTTTATATATTTTGTTTTAATGAACAATATTTATATTTTCCCCTGCTTTTAATTGTTTGTCTTTATAATTTTTGCTAGCATTTGTTGTTATATACGAATGGTGGCCATTTCAAGTTTTTTTACTTTTTGGCTTCCTCTTTATTCAAATGATTCATTCATTTGATTGTTTTATTTAATTTGGCAAAATAAAACTTATTGAGAAGTTACGACATGAATGATATTCAAACTCATGTAGATACTAGTGAGCGAAATCTACTGCTTTGTGCCATCGTCTTGGTCGTAGGTCGAAAGAGCAGAGACGTTTTCTCTGTTGAGAAAGACTTGGCAGGTCATTCTTTCTGAAAATAGGCATCTGTTGCGTGTGCTCGCTCGATGGAAGGAGCTCGAAGAGGATGCAAACACCTCACGGTTGATTTTTATTATATGCAAAATGGGAAATAGAAAAGACAAGATGTAAAAGTGCTTAGAAGCATTTTGAAACAAATTCTTTTAAAAGATCATAAAGTTGAGACGGAAATGCGAATTATGGTATGTAGTAAATGGCGGCATGCATAAAAAGAAACGTAATAGTTATGTGGTGATAAAAGTGTTTGCGTAAATATTTAATATTAATATTAAAGAGGTTGACGCTAAGAAATGCAAGACTGAATTTGTGAGTTGGTAAATGGCCACGAAAAATTATTATCCATTATTTTCCGTATCACAATAAAGAACGCAACTACAGGTTGTTGGTATAAATCTACAGAAATAATTTGCAACTATAAAATTTGCAGTTGATAATCTACGTCAAAGAAATTTACCGTTAACATATGTTGTAATTATTTTTAGCTAAAAATAGCAGAATATGTATTTAGTTTTTGCCGGCTTTGTTGAATTTTTAAATGGTTTGCATAATTAGTTTGATTACTCTCTACATGATATCGAAGTTTTTTTACGATAGTCTCAACAACGTCGTTGTTTTTACTTGGATATAAATTTTTGATAAATAGTTTATACTAATAAAGTTCACTGTAAAATTATTATTTATATGTACTACAAAATATAAATGATTTTATGCAATTTTTATCTATTGCATAGCCACCACATGATTCCAAGTATTTCTTCAGTTAAAGCCTTGAAAATTACTTTACGATTTAAAAACACAAAACATGTATATACTCTTTTAACGTGAAAATTTTTTCGTCGGTATCACAATTAATTTAAACTCCATTATAAAACATTTAATAGTAATATAGAATAGAACAAATAAATGTTTGCACAGTGCGTTTGTCCGCATCCATTATCAGTATTAAAGATGATTACATATCGCTAAACATGTCTGTTAAAAAACACGAATGAAAAATATCCGACTTCGACACTCTGATTTATTTGTACACAGGTTGTTTTTATATATTTCATAATCATCATCATCATGTACGTTTATTGGCGCTCAACCCTGGGAGGCGATGCTGACAAAAATTTTGGGTTGGCCTTGTCGCATGATCACGCACATTTAACCGACTTTTTCTCTTCTAAGCCAGTTCTGGTTTCAGGCCAGTGCCCTCATTTCCTTTGACAACACTTCTTTCCAAGTGAAGTTGTGTCGGCCACATTTTTTAAACCGCCAATTACAATAGTTCTACATTTCTTTAGCCAGTCCTCAATTGCTTTCCTGTCAACATGGCCGAACCATCTCAGTCTAATACCTCTAATTACATCTGACAACTCATCTACCCCTAACCCTTTCTTTATTACCTCATCACTTAGACACTTTTTCAAGAATACTTCCATTATTCTTCTCAACGTCTGACTTTCTTGTTCTCTCCTGTTTTCTTAAGTTTTCAGCCGCCAAAGCCCAAGTTTCGCACCCATACAACATGCAACTTCTAACACATGCTCTATATACCTTACCCTTTAGACCCAATGGTATACCCCTAGAACACAACCCTGAAGTAATTTTTCTGAATTTTTTCCATACTACTTTTATTCTACCTTCGACCGCTCTATCCTCTCTCCTTGTTTAGTATATTACCTATATAACAAAAAGATTCCACTCTTTCAAATCCAAAATTTCCCAGGTGCCCAGTATCACCCTTTCGTTTAGTAGTATCATTCAACTTGCATTGTTTACAAACAAATTTCTTGCCCTTGTTGAGTTCTCCTTTCAAACCACTGCATCGTTTGTGCGTTCATTCATCCATTTTACACATGGTATTGAATTTCCGCTGACTCCTTTACCACACACTGCACAGGGAAATTTACGACGTTCAAAAGTATTTGAATCCTCCCCGCTTCACATAACTTTGGTTTTATCAACATTTACCTTTAAATCCTTTATACATGCGTGTGTGTGTTTGTGTGTGTGTGTGTGTGTGTTAATTCTGATATTTCCAGTGTTAATCCATTGGATAATTGGGTGGCCATACAAGATTTAGGTCTGGAAATTTTTTGTATTTCCTGATTATAAACTGATTTGTTTATGTATTTATGGTTATATACATTTGTTTTAAAATATCGCCGTAATTTTCCTATTGAGGTTAGACTTTAATGTTGCTTTTAACTTTAGATAGCGACGATGTTAACGCTAGAAATACGTTTGAAATAATTGTACCAATAAATTGTGGCGAGGCTGCTGATGACAGTGAAGTGATACAAGTTAAATTTGTTTCATCGTTGTTTTTCATTAATGCAGATTTTGTGCAAAGATTCGGTCGAAAAAATTAGAAAAAAAGTTACAAGTTGGTGAAGTTTGATTTTTTTTTTATAGATAAAGTTAAATATTTTAGGTTTTAGCACTTTTGTTATAGTTTTTATATAGTTTCTCACCTTGAATCTTTTTTTTGAAAAATTTAATATGCTATTACAAAAAAATACTCATCAGATGTCATTTTAGAGCTGTTGAATCAAAACCCAGAACAAGAGAAGGTGATTTTTTATTTGCTTACATCAATCGTTTTGTGCTTGTGATGATTTTTATGGAAGTATTCTTATTTTGTGTATGTATATGGCTATTTGTACTGTATACACATAGTTATTTGTGTATGTCTATTTATTTGTTACATGCATAGTTATTTGTACTGTACGTACATACGTAGTTATTTCAGTTAAACATTACCTTGCTAACGATATATTGGCGGCGAAACGTCGGCAAAAAAAATAATTTAAAAAATTACTTTTGAAAATTTGATTTAAGAATTGGATTACAAACATAAGAAGTTGATAAGAATGTTGGAAAAGATTAAGAAGAAACGTAATAATCTGATAACTTCGATCAAATTCAACAGAATATGCATAAAAAACTTCTTGCCTAGATATACTGACATTAAACTAGTCGGTCCGGTAGCTTGAAATGAAAAAGTAACCGTAGATTTTAAAAGAAACTTTCTTCACTGAGAAATCCAACTCTTTTGTAAAGATGTAAATAAACTCATAGAAGAACGGATCAATAACTTACGACATTAGATTGCACCTCCGACAAATTGAAAAATGATATAAATATTCTTCTTTCTCTCTCCCTGCTATCTTTCCAGTAGTTTTCCATTCCTTCCGCATGATGTGGCCTAAAAACTTTCACTGTCTCCGTCGGATTATTTGTAGTAATTTCTTTTTTCATAACCGGACTGTTTTATTGCATCTTCATTGATGGTATGAGAGGTCCGACTAATTTTCATAACTCTATTCAAAAGCCACATCTCAGCAGCATCAATCTTTTTTCTATTTCTTTAGAAATCGTCCAGGACTCTGCTGTAAGTGAGCACAGGAAAAATGTAACACTCTAACAGTTTTAATTTTATTGATATTCTGATTTTAATGTTGGTGGGGATGTTTTTTTCTATCTTTCTCATCACTATAGAGATTGTACAGGTTTGGAGAGAATACACAGCCTTACCTAGCACCTTTTTGTATTTCGACAAAACTATTCATCTTATTACCAACTTTCATCGCTGCTCTTTGGTCCCAATAGAGGTCTTTGATAACTCTCGTGTCTTTTCCATCACTGTCCAAATTTTAATTTTGTTGATATTCTGATTTTACTGTTGGTGAAGATGTTTTTTATTTTAGAATATGCATCTTTTGCCATAGCTATCTTTCGTTTGATATCCATATTACATTTACAACCTGAGGTAATCAGACTTCCGAGATAATTGAAGCTGTTGACTTGTTTCACCGGTTTACCATTAATGATTATGGAGCAGATAGGGGCGGTTTTGTTTTTACTGTTAACTATGCACTCTGTATTGTTGATCTTAATTTGCAATCCATTCTCTTTCAAAAACCAGTTTTGAAACAATTGTTTACAGTTTTTCCATTGATTTCGCTATAAGAACTGTATCATCAGCATATCTTACATTGTTTATATTCACGCCTCCAACAAATATTTTAGGAAGATCTGTCTTTCTCGTGATGATTTCACTATAGAGATTGTACAAGTCTGGAGTGAATATACAGCCTTGTCTAACACATTTTTTTATTTCGGCAAAACCAACTTTTAAATTTAGAAATACAGAAATGAACAATATCAAACAACATATAAATGAGAGTAAAGATCCCTAAAGCAAAGGACAATATTATAAACTTGACTGAATATGATGAAAAGATTATGAAAAAACGTTTTGAACATGAGCCTAAATTGTCATTTTATAGAAAGCCTGAAAAGTTCGAAAAAATTGAAATAGAAATACTGGTCAACAACATTAACAAACTGAAGAAAGGAAAATCAGATAACATTATACAACAACATGGTTGCAGAATTGCTTGCTAAATCGAATAAAATATTAGGCCATTACAACATTAAATAATGACAAAAACATTTTCAAGCCGTCAAGAAAAAAACAAAACGACCAGAGAATTTCCAACGAAATTCACTGCTGGCGAGGATCCACTGTCTATACTGCCAGTGGCGATTTTTTACAGCATTATAAAGTCATCTAGAATTCTTCTAAACTTTAAGAAAGGCAGCTTCAAGCGATCAGTGTTGCAGAGTCCTTTGCATTCACAAACCATCTATTTCCTTCTTTTTTCTTGGAGATTATGCATTGACATCATTCCAGCATATTCTAGCTTTGATTTTATAATTTATTTTAAAATAAAATAAAAAACAAAATAATTTATTTTGAGACTTACACATTAATGTGCAAATTTTAAAAATTATGCTATATTTTATAGGTAGCCAGTGCGAAAGAACATGATGAATGATTACATAAGTTATAAAAAGTTTTCTTGAATTTTTTTTTCTGATACAGCAGCAACACATGGCAAGTAGGCTAGTTTAGTTAATCCAAATGGATGTATCATAAAGTTGCATCAATTTTAAAAAAATTAAGAACACATTTGTCAGCACTTATTATCAGTGTAAATGACGATTGCGTATCGCTCGCTACACACATATATCATCTAAAAAACACTAGTTTTCAAAATTATTTTTAAAATATACATTTTTTCAAAATCTTAATAACACTTTTCGGAATCAGGTGAAAAAAATATGTTAGGGGTTTGTTTAAATAGAATGGAATAATGTTATAAAATAACAATGACATTGAGAACGTTTTGGTTTTGTTTACATTTTGGAACGTTTTGTTTTCATCAATCAATCAATCAATGTTCGTTTTGCGTCCAGAGACCTGGTTTCCCGAGGTAGGACGTTGTTTTCTTTGCCATCAACTTTTTGTGCCAAATTAGATAATCAGTTGTATCCATTTCATTTAAATTTAGAGCTTTCATGTCTTGCTCGATTGTTTGCGACCAGGACTTCTTTGGACGGCCTTTGGGACGTGTGCCAGGTACTTCAAAATCTGCAAGAAAAGTTATGGCACTGTTTCCATTTCGTTTGACATGACCAAACCACCGCAGACGGTGTTGCCGGCATTCGTCCTTTATATCGTCTAAACCAGCACGACGCAGGATTTCGGTAGATTCGATGTGGTCCTTCAGACTAATTCGTTGCATCCATCGAAGCATTTTCATGTCGGTTCGTTGGAGTTGTTGTTCCGGTTTGGCTGTCATTGGCCATGTTTCTGCACCATATAACAACACCGGACGTATCACAGATTTATAAAGTCTTGATCGTAGTGGTAGTGGGATGTCACGCCACATCAATATAGAGGCAAGGAGATGCCATTTATTCCAGGCTTCACGTATGCGTGCTCGAACGTCAGCTTCAGCTGTTTCAGTACAATTCAGTACATCCCCTAGATATTGAAACGATGTGACTTTCTCTATTTTAATGGCTTCAAAAACAGTGCTATTTCGAATTTGTTAATGTGGATTGATGCAAGCATGACAAACAAAATTGGACAATTTAGATAAAGTACCAATCATTTTTGAACAACGTTTGTGACACCACTGGTTACACTGCTGACACTTGATTGAATTGTTACCTAAACCTGCTTTACAAACTGAACAGGGCCATCGTCCATAGCTGTGGATTGGATGGGTTCACCAGTGTTCATTGCTTTGGTTTTGCTGATGTTGACTTTGAATCCATGATCGGCGAGTCTGGTGTTCCAATCTTCAAACATCTGTGCTGCATTCTGCTCAGACGTGGCTGTTAAAACGATATCATCAGCATATACTAGATTCCAAATGTCACCAGTGCGTATCGGTTTTGTGATTTCTTCCATCACACTTATAAATAACAGTAGACTGAGAATCGAGCCTTGGTGAACTCCAACGCCGATGTCAAATGCATCTGTGTTTCCAACCGTTGTGCTGACGAAAGTCTTAGTATTCGTATACATTTCCATCACAAGTCGAGCAAGATATTCTGGAATGAGTTGTCGACATAGACTCCACCTGATTGCTACACGGGGAACTCGATCAAATGCTTTTTCAAGGTCTACAAAAATGTGTGATAGTTGTTGATGCTTTGCGAGGTACTTCTCTTGCAGTTGCCGAAGGATGTGAATTGCATCAATTGTTGATTTTCCCGCTAGAAAACCAAATTGATAATTTCCGATTGTGATGCACAACGTTAATCTTCTCTCAATGATTTTCTCTACAATTTTCAGGGAGTGTTCTAACAGACATATACCCCGATATGATGAACAGTTCAATGGATCACCTTTGCCTTTGTATAGCGGGACTGTCATGCTATAGTTCCATTCAGTCGACATTGAGCAATTTCTCCACACTTCACGGCAAAGTTGTAGTAACGTTTGGATACCTGCATGCATAACATGTATAAGTATGCATAACAACTTCCTAAAACTTCATGTCGATCGGATGAGTGATGTAGGTAGTATGTAGAGTAAGAAATAACAACACACGTTTAGACGACATTTTCCCCGAGATCGGGGGTTGCCGTTTGGCTATCTATGATGAAACCGAAATACCCCTCGCGCACCCTCTTCTGCCGGATACTGAGGGCCATTGTCACTTCTGTCATCATAAGTAATTTATTTGGCTAATTTTTACGCAGGACGCCCTTCCTTACGCAACCACAGTTATAAGCGGTGGGCCTAGCCTTTGATGATCCAACATCACTCACAAGGCAGTGAGGGTCAGTTTAATGTCATAACCAGGAAATGAAATAGAGTAAGAGTAAAAATAAAGTAGAGTAAGAGTAAAAATAAGAGTAAAAATAAGAGTAAAAATAAAGAGTAAGAGTAAAAATAAAGTAGAGTAAGAGTAAGAGTAAAAAGTAAGATTAAGAGTAAAAATAAAGTAGAGTAAGAAAGTAAGTAAGTAATTATACAGACACATGTATTCATTTTTTTATTATTTTTTAAGCGATAAATAAAATTTGAATAATTTTTTGCTTACGTTTGCAATTTAGTATAATATAATTTAATATTGCCGTTCAATAAATGACCAATATTCAATTCTAAATTTAAATTATATAAAGTAATTTTATATTAAATTTACCGCAACAATGTGTGGCAGTTGTTACTTTCCATATTGGTCAACAAGTTGGGGGATCCTTCATCAAAAGTTGCATCAAATGTTGTTCATCTCCTCAACAAGCTTAGTTAGTTTTTGTGCCACCATTTCATTGTCATCATCGGCTTTCGTTTGTGATCACATTTTAAAACGACTGAAATATTTATAGAAATTTATTTTTTCGTTGCTACAACCTCGGTTTGAATATATTTAATGCATTTATGTTTAGTTGTTCAACATCCAAAAATGAAGCTAGTAACTGCTGTAGAAGTTGAAAGGTTGCTGTACAGAACCAACATATCTTCAAAAGCTCAGTATGTCTCCTTTTTTGTTGATTGCAATGATAGTATTTATAATTTATTTTCGTTTCAGGTTAATTATTGAGCTATAAGTCAAATTATTTTTGTTATTTGTATGACTGATAATTATTGTTAATTTATTTTTATTACAAACAGATTCTATGCAATTTGTTTTTTGTCAAACATGAAACTAAATAGAGATGAAAATGATCTTGCTTCTCGTCTAATTGGCATCTATTTCAACTTCTTCAAGGTCATTTAAATTTATTTAACCGATAATTGTTTTTGTTAGCAAATGTTAATGAACTATCATTTTGTTTGCTATTAGCGTTTTTGGCTGTTCTTGTTTTGCTTTTAACTTTGTTATGTTTCTATTTTGCATAAACCTGTTTATTAAATATTAATTTTTGTATGTGCATGGGCGTTACAATGAAACAATGCTCGCCTTCTTAGTTTTTGTTTTTTTTTTGTAAACTGATCCTTTATTAAAATAATTTACCTTTATGCAAACTTCCGGACATATATAAAATCGTTTATTGACTATTAAAATGAACATCGTAACCAGCTGCACATAGGAAAAGGAGAAGTTGATACAAAGATATTGAGTGCTGTGTTGACGGGAGTCAACAAAACGTACTTATGTGCCCGAGGTAATTGTACATAATTTTTTTATTGCTATGTTCTGCTTTAAAATATCAAGCTGTGAATTATTTGAATTTATTTTCCATCACACACAATAGCATACAGATTTTGCATCTGTCAGATTCTGATTTTTTGAAACAATAATATAAAAACAATATAAAAAACAGGTGATCATAGTATATAAATTTAATATAATTAATTTATAACATAAATGAAACCTTATTTGTTACATGCTTAACAGTGAAGACGGACGCCATAACTGAGCAGACGGAAGCATTGTACACAATCATTCATCTATCTAAATTCAACACAAGTCTTCAAGCTCTTATGTTACTGCACCAAGTCATGGATGTCAGGTTCGTGTTGAAATTAAGTATATATGTATATACATACGCCATAATGTATGTATGTATGTATGTGTGTGTATGTATATATATATATATATCACAGCATATCACAGATGAGAGATGGTGTACTTATGTACTCGTACTGGCCAATATATATTGCGTGAGCAGGTCAGAAATTAGCAGGTCGGAAATATATATATATATATATATATATATATATATATATATATATATATATATATATATATATATGATTCTCGGTAAACGAACGTCTGAGATTGAGATCTCATTGAGGGAGTAAAGCAGAGCAAGCAAACGTGCATTTGAGCCTCACGTTCAGGAGTAGGAGCTACCTACGACTCGTCATACTGGTTTTAGGGTTATAGTCAGTGTTGACTGACGTCCAGGCGATGCATACTATAAAAATGATTCCTAAAAGTATGATATATATATATTTCCGACCTGCTAATTTCTGACCTGCTCACGCAATATATATTGGCCAGTACGAGTACATAAGTACACCATCTCTCATCTGTGATATGCTGGACAGGGGAGGCAATTTGAAATGGTTCCGTGACGCTTGTTCAAATCTTGCTCCTACTCTCAAAAAGTTAACTAATTCTGTAAAAACAAATAAAAACGAAATGATGAGTAAACTCAACAACTTACGTGATCTGAATAATGTGGTTAGGACTCAAATTGAAATCATCAGTAAGGCAGTTGATAAAAACAGTAAAAAGTTGAATCAACTTGTTAAATCAGCCATCCACATCTGTCACTCGCCTCAGTATCACGCAACCCCGCTTTCACTCTGTCCTTCTCCACCTGCTCTCTCCATCCCAATCGCGGACGACACCTTCCTACCATTCCTTCATACCACCGCAATCTCGATCTCCTTATCAATGTCACAATGTCCTCATTCAGTCCCATCATCGACATCAGCTCTGAACTACTCCTCCTATCCTTCACTTTAACCCCACACATCATCTTCACCATAGCTCTTTCAGCCCTCTGCAGTACACTTTCTTCCTCTGTGGTTGCGTAAGGAAGGGCGTCCTGCGTAAAAACTAGCCAAAAAATAATCCTTATGATGACGGAAATAACAATGGCCCTCAGTATCCTGCAGAAGAGGGTGCGAAGAATCTCCGGTGACCCAGTCCATGGGGTTGTGGTGCAAGGCCCTGTGGATGGTCTGGCTACTGGCATCGCACTCTATAGTGTGGCGGTGCAAGGCACTATAGATGGAAGGACTACTTGTAGACCAAGGGGTTGGAGGTTTGGTACCTGGAATGTAGGCACGTTGACAGGAAGAAGTTTGGAAGTGGTGGAGGAGCTGCAGAGGAGAATGGTTGACGTGGCTGCATTACAGGAGATCAGATGGAAGGGTGAGGGTACAAGGTTTGTGGGGGCTAAAGGTGGAAGATATAAGTTGTGGTGGAAGGGGGATGATCGTACGGGAGGAGTTGGTGTGATAGTAAGAGAAGAGTTGGTGGAGAAGGTGTTGGAAGTGAGGCGGAGAAGCAATGGTGTAATTGTGGTGGTGATGGTGTTTGGAAAAGTAATAGTGAGGGTGATATCAGGATATGCTCCGCAACAAAGTAGGAAGGAAGAGGAGAAGGATAGGTTTTATGATGATGTTTCTGACGAGATTGGGCAAGCGGGGTTGGATGAGTTTGTGGTGTTGTTGGGTGATTTGAATGGTCATGTGGGGGCGGTAGCTAAGTAGCAAAGCAGTCAATGAGGGATAGGAAAGATGTTATAGGGAATGGATGTGTTTGGAATGGATCTGGCAAGTTGTGCATAGATGAGGAGGAAAAAGCTCAGGTGTGGAATGCTCATATGGAAAGGTTGATGAATGAAGAGAATGAGTGGGATGGAGATGTGGAATCCGCGGTCACACACGGACCTATAGAGAAGGTGACGATGGAGGAAGTAGAGAAAGCAGTTAGAGAAATGAAACTAGGTAAGGCGACAGGGGTTTCGGAAGTGGCGGCAGAACATATAAAAACGAGTGGGGTGATAGGAATTGAAGTTATGATGAGAATTGCTAACAGTATGTTTGATGATGAAGGTATACCTGAGGATTGGCGACACAGTGTGTTGGTGCCGTTGTATAAGGGCAAAGGAGATGTGAGAGATTGTGGGTCATATAGGGGTGTGAAATTGCTAGAGCACGGAATGAAGGTAGTGGAGAGGGTGCTTGAGAGGAGGTTGAGAAATATGGTGACAGTTAATGAAATGCAGTGTGGGTTTATGCCTGGTAGGGGAACGGTGGATGCGTTGTTCATGGTGAGAATGTTGCAGGAGAATTATAGAAAGAAGAAACGAAGATTGTACATGTGTCCTGTGGATCTAGAAAAGGCTTTTGATCGAGTACCGAGGAAGGTC